GGTTCAATCCCCCAGCACCACATGCCAGCCAGCCCCACCCCCTGGTGGGCTGAGCTGGCCACACACACACACACACACACACACACACACACATATAAATAAATTAATTAATTAAAAAAAAAAGACCAGGGCAGTGGAGATAGCTCAGCCTAAGTGCCGTCTAGGCAAGCACAAGGACCCAGGTTCCATCCCCAGTACCACATGCAGTGCCAGCCCCGCACATGCTGGTCACCGAAACTGGGCGTGATGGTGCAAGCCCGTAATCTCAATGCTGGGGAGGCTGAGACAGGAGGATCACTCGAGTCTGAGCTACATAGCAAGAGCCTGTACCAAATTAAAAATAAATAAAAGTTGACACCAAACAATGTTACACATTCCTGGGCTACAGTGATGTTTCTACACTTGGATAGCCTGGGTAGTGACCAGACAGGACAGTTAGCACAGCTGTCACCTGGAGTGCTTATGTTACTCTGTGTTGGGAACAAAGTCCTCTCCTAGGGTTGGGCGCGGTCGCGCATGCCTGTGGTCTCAGCAACCAGGAGGCTGAGGCAAGAGGATTGCTGCGAGTTCAAGGCCAGCCTGGTCTATGGAGTGACACTGTCAAAAAGCCAAAAATAAAATCTCTTCTTGTGGCTATTTTGAAATACACAATGAGTTCCTGTTAACTCTAGCGATTTTATTGTTCTGTGGAACGCTAGAACTTCATCCTCGTGCCTATTTTGGGATCTGTAAACCAACTCTCCTCGGTCCCCTCCCAGTTCGCTTCTGAGAGCTGAGTAGTATCAAATGTAAAGACCTGTTTCTTCTGCGGTGCTGGCTGAGCGGGCAAACCCTCCTGGGTGTCGCCCACCTGGGCCCTGCGCCTCGCGGCAGGGTGCTGAGGACCCTTGTCCCTGGCGCCCGCAGGTCACCTACGCGAGCCACATTCAGTATCTAGTGGCCATAATCAAGAGCGAACAGCAGTACCAGGAGCAGCTGAAGGCGGACAACAAGAGCTGCTACGGTGAGCGGGGCGCGGGCGGCGGGGGCGCGGGCGGCGGGGGCGCGGGGCCAGGGCACCGGCCTTCCTTCTCAATAGACCACATCATGGGCCACGGCGGTGGCCGGGAGGGGTGGCCGGGCCGCGGCGGCGCCTTTTCCTGCGCAAACCCCGCTACCGGGCGGCGGGGGCGCGGGGCTGACGCCGCCTCCCCTCTGCTGGGCGCTCAGGGCGTCCCGGGCGCTCAGGGTCCGGGTGGCGGGGCGGGGACGGGGACCCCGCGGTGGGACTGGATTCAGACAGGCTTGGAAAGAGCCCCCGGAGACCGAGGACTGGGGAGGGGCGAGCCGAGGGTGGGTTCTCTGTTTTCCAAAGGTGTTTGGCCAGGTCTTTTAAAAGCATTCACCAACATCCTGCATTTACTTAAGGCCACTTCGGCTCGAGGGCCTGCAGCTGTCACCACTCCGCAGGAGGAGCCCCGGCCCAGCTCGCGCTCCCCGCGAGCCCCCTGCGTGTCGTCACTAGCCTGCTCACCCGGGCACTCGCCCGCCGCGCCCCCTCCCCCGGCGGCGCCCACCACGCACCTCTGCCCCTGCGTGGCAGCGCCCGATCCTCGGCGCACCTGCAGAAGGGCTCGCCCGCCCGCCCCTAGCAGAACGCAGGAAGCCTCGTCTGCAGCTAGGCTTTAAAAGTTAAGCACTGAGTGATGACCCAGAGGTCAGTGTCCATGCTTAGTGTCTTTTGGGGGCTCTGTTCGTTTAACCAGGGGCTCCGGAGGCAGTAAAGAGAGAAGTGCTGAATTTATAAGGATTGATGATTGGGGGAATTTTAGGGGAGTTTTAGTTTTACTTCCGTTTATAGATTAGTACCATTGGGGATTTTTTTTTTTCATTCTCTATACACACTAGTTTATTTTTCCTTTAATCTTATAGGAGTTTGAGACTATTGCTGACTGGGTTTGTGGGTGTCCCATGTGCCCCAGCAGTTCAAACTTAGCTCAGAAAGCATTTTTTCTTACTAAAAAAGCATGTTCTTACTAAAATGAGTCATAATTTTATTAAATGGTGAAGCATGCTAGGTTTCAAGACTACCTGGTGTTTGAAACTTGCTTAAAATTTGTTAATAGTTTAAATCTTTATCAAAACATGTTAGTCGCATGGAAGGCTTTAACAGTCCTTTCTTCCTGAGAAAAAGGTAACACGGAGAGAAAATTACTGTGAGCTATTTCAGTTCACAATTCCAAAAGGCAAGTCATTTGCAATTTAAAATATTTTTAAAGCCAATATTTATTTTTAGGTTCTATAATGAAATTTCTTTCTTCACATGAAAATAAAATTTACAAACTAACAATCACAAATAGGTAGAAACTTACCCCTGAAGGAGATACATTCTGTCTTTGACATTACTTTATGAACCCAACTGTCATGATTTCTAATGGCTGAGCCTCTTAGATAAAAAGCGAGTCTCCAAACCCCTACTAAAAAAAGCTAATAGTTATTTCCCAAAATTCTTAGGAGGTGGAACTACTTTGTGATTAAATTCTGTGAGAGGAAAATTACTAATTTCAAATTTTTTCCTTTGCATATCATTTGATATGAATTGTTTTGTGAATTCATAATATTGTTGCTCCTCCCTCAGACATTTTGTAGTTTTAATTTTTTTCTGTCATAGAGGTGACTAAAATGTGTGTGGATATACATTCTCTAATAGAGAATATACATTTGATCATTTTATGTAGCTTATTTGTTTTATTTTTTATTTTTTGTTTCTTTTAGCTAATTTATTTTATATTGCTTCTGATAAATATAGAAGCATAAAATCAAATGGAGTTATGAAAACTGTTGGATAGATGAAAATGTATTTGCAAGCACATCGGAGAATGCTTATTGTAACTTTTTATACATTTTTCCTTGTGCTTGTAATGATTACAAATGCATTTTTAGATGACAGTTTTGTATATTTCACTTTTTTTTTTTTTTAAAGTCTACTACATCAGTTATTTTAGTGGTCGCTGGGATGAGGCTAAGTTCGTATACACTCTTTCATTTGTGTTGCATGAGGCAGGGATCCGAAAGCTTATAAAAGGCTAGGATGGTAGACACTTTACGGTATGGGTTGAGTTCCATATTCTTCTGTTTCTTGTCTTTCTTTCCTTCTTACAGCCCTTTACAGGTGTAAAAAGCACTTTTAATTTGCAGGCTGTACTCAGCCTGCAGGCCATAGTTGGTGGATGCTAGAACAGTAATCCTCAATCTTCAGCGTCAGAATCATGGGGTTTACCCAGAAAAAATACACAGCCCCAGACTGTCCCTTCAGTAACTGATTTAGTGAGTGTGAGGGGGCCCAAGGATCTGAAGGCTGTACTCAAGTACTGTGAAGAAATCTCCAGGCCACTTGTTGATGACCTTAGCTATTTTGGTATTCTTTTCCTTTTGCCAGTTTTCTTCTACCACCTTCCTGTAGGAGTCCCCTCCAGGGAGAGATAGTCACTCTTCTTTCAAGGAGAGCTGCCCAGGTGGTCCTCCACACGTCCTTTTCTTCCTTCCTTTTTACCTCTCCTGAGGATTAAGGCTCTCCATAACTCAAAATGTTTTAACTCCCTGGGGAAGTTGGTTCAGTGACCAGAGAGCTAGGCTAGCTTTTTCCCTGTCCCTTTACTGTTAAACATCAGCCTCATGTCTGACACTGAAAAGGAGTTCCTTGGTCACTTGTTGATCATCATTGCGATTCTCCCCTTGCAAAAGCAAGCACTTGAAGCATTTTGCTTGACTACCCTGAGGAGGAGGGCTGAAGGGAGAAAGATGTAAAATCCTGTGTTGCGGCCTTTTTGCTTTGACTGCTGAGATGTAAGCATGTGGTAGATCTTTATTTTTTTATGTTTATTTTTTTTGGTGGAATTGGGGATTGAACTTGCCCTTGCCAGGGAAGCGCTTATTCCACTGAGCCATCTCCCCGGCCCTACATCTTTAATAATAACTGCAATCAATGATAAATGTGATCATTTTACCTAAAATGTACCCAAACAACCTAATTAATTAAAATAATAATAACTGCAAGCAGCATCTTAAAGATGAATGAGTATTTTCAGAGGTGGTGACAGTTCAGGGCTCAGCAGTTCCATGTCTCTGCAACCCATCTTTCCTATGGTACCTCCTCAACCCAGGTTGGCTCAGGCCCCTTAAATGGGGAATAAGTATAATAGACTCCAAATGGTTAAACTGAAGGCAATTCTTGATCATTTCAGCTAATGAAGAACAGCGGTAGCATATATAATTGACATCCATGGATTTGAGATAAACCTCATGTTGGTGCTCAGTAAACTTTTTAGTAATAACAATGGGGTGATCCCTGCCTTAGTCCAACCTTTTTAATAGGCACTCCATCGGATGTGGTGACCAAATATGTTTTATCTTTAAACGATTTTTGGATTTGACACTTCTTGTTTGCTTGCACTGTCCACATCCCCATCAATTCATACATTCCTACGACAACCAGTCCACATCTTTGAACTGAGTCTTGAAGGTATGAGCCCTTCTGTGAAAGAGGATGGATATGCCAGAGCAAAGGACAGTGGGAGTATAGCACACAGCAGCCGCCAGGCACATTCATGGCGTAGTGAACATGGAGCTGTCCAAGTTGCCTAGAACAAGGAGCACTTTGGGGACCAGATGTGTGTGTGTGTGTGTGTGTGTGTGTGTGTGTGTGTGTGTGTGTGTAGGGGGTGCACGTATGCTGACTAGGACAGCTATATTAGCACAGTTGTCTATTCGGAAGACTGATCTGACCATATTGTCACATAGATTGGAGTGAGAAAAGACTGAAGAGGAAAGACCACGTAGTTACTGAGGACCAGGCAGTAGCCCCTAAGTGAAAAGAGAAAGAGACAGATCAGAAGACCATTGCATAGGCAGTGTG